CCCCAAAACCCCAAAACCCCAAAACCCCAAAACCCCAAAACCCCAAAACCCCAAAACCCCAAAACCCCAAGTAATTCGATATTAAATAAATAGTAGAAGAACTCTATAATTTAATTAATACATTTCCACAAATATGCTAGACCAACAATTCCTATTAGAAAAGTGTATGGGTCAAGGAGGCTCCAGCAGGGTTTACCAGGCTGAGCATCTCCAATCCCAAACTAAGTATGCCGTCAAGATCATCAGGAAGGATAAAAATATCTGCCAGAAGAAGGGTGCGAAGATGCTACAGGAGGAACATGACAGAATGGTGAAACTTCAGGATCATCCTAATGTTTTGAAGAGTCTTGGAGCCTTCACCGAAGGAAGTCTGTGCACAGAAGTGGGTGCAACTAATGTCCAGTATAATGTACTTGAGATTGCTGAGAAAGGAAGCTTTGCTGGACTTATTAGAAAAATTGGAGGACTTGGGCAGACTCTGGTCAAGTTCCCATTCATACAAATCTGAAGTGCTGTTCAGTATATCCACTCACAAGGTATTGCTCATATGGATCTTAAGTTAGACAACATCCTCCTTGATGAATTCTATAACTGTAAAGTTGCTGATCTTGGTGTATCATTAGATGTATCAACGTCAAATGGATTCACCGACAGTAAAAGAGGAACAGTATGTTACATGGCTCCAGAAATCCACTATCTTTTACCAACTGAGACTTATGACGCATATAAAGCTGATATCTACTCACTTGGTGTTTGTCTCTATGCTTTATTGTTTGGAGAACTCCCAATCAAGAAAGATGATGACGAATCTACCTTACATGACTCTGACACTTTAACCACAATAACTGGTTTGAAGTGTTCCCTTGATTGAAAGAAAAAGTGGTCACAGCTTCCTGAAGAACTCCAGGATCTTCTTAGCTGCATGCTCTCTCTTGAGCCAGATGAGAGACCAGACCTTGATGAAATCTTGGAATATCCATGGCTTAAGGAAGCATTCCATCAAGATATGCCTGCTTACTTCTACAATGAAGTTGAGAAGATAGTTGAGAATGTATCTAATGAAGCTTCTTCATTCATGAAGCAAGAAGGATGCCTTGAGGATATTTTCTCCTCACTTGCCTTCTAATTATCCTCTTAATATTAACTTCGTACACTAATTATTTTCTAAATAAACCTTGCTGAATGGGTCTCCACGTATTTTGGGAATGTTTCTAAGTGGTAGATTGGGACTTAACCTAAACATTTAAAGGACTCAGTACAACAAACCTAATACTTTTGAGCTACAGAGGTATCTTTTAGTACTTATGTTGTTAATTAAAGGACAAAAGTTGGCTTAAAACTAAAATAAACGATGTTAAACCTCATTTTGACCATAGAGATTTATGACAATTTTGGTTTAAAATTAGTAATTTTAGCATAAACCAAATGTCAGAAGAACTCTAGAAGTAAGAAGCTTAAAGTCATGGCATTCTAAAACTCATATCTAGGCACCAAGCATGGCTTCTATCGAGTAAGATGCTTTAATATGGTTCGGCTGACTTGAACTGTACCAAAATAAGATATACATAATGAGTCCAGACGACATATTATGGCTCACCAAACCTCCAATCTGCTTATCTCTACAATAAATCTTTTAATGCGTCCGAAGTATATCAAGCACCATAGTTTCTCAGGTTTATCTAGGGTTCTTTTCATGGGAAAGTAAACATAAGTCTTTTCTTAATGAACTCCCTTGGGATTAGAAAGTACTCTACTTTCACTATAAATTAAGCTCCAGCAGGACCATAACGAAAATACCTTCAATAATCTCTAAGGAAGCATTAGTGATCATGGTCGTTCAAATTCCGGTGTAAATGAGGCTTCTTATAATCTTTCTGTACTCTTCCATAAACTCAATGACATATTTTCTATTTTTTCAAGATTCCTTTGAGAAATTGGAAATTCACCGCTTTGAATTATTACCTAGAACATTTTGAATGCTCAGTATTTTGGCATGCGAGACCAATCTCCTCATATTTAAGTGATTTATGTCCTAAATCCAGCCTTTAAAGCCTCATTTTTGTTAGGTTTATCATTCCCAAAAGGAGATGGAAATTTCAGAATAAGTATCCCAAGACCAAATTTCGCTCAGGAATTATTTTGGTGTTGAGCTTTAAAACTGCAAGATCTCGAAGCTTTAGCTATACCATATAATTTATAAACTCAATGGGTTAGTCTACCTAATACGCCAACTCTCCTCTGCCAGATTCTAATAGTGCTTATTGGCCTTAGCTGCAATTTTTAGAGATTCCTAGAAATATCTACCGCTTAACTTATTTTTTAAATACTTATGAAATGCTTGAGGAAAAGATGGTGAAAGTAGCCTGAAACCATATTCAGAGCATGTTCTAAAACTTTTAGAAGTCTTCCCTGTTGAGAAAAGATTTGGATTACTTAAATAGAAATTATAAAGCGTCTCGAGTTGTTTAAAGCTAGCATGCACCAAACAGTGAACCCTCCAATTCGTATGTCTCCAAATTTTTGAACAGGGAAGGTTTAGACGACCTAGAGATACTTATATTACACTTACATGTTGTTGTGATGGACTATCTTAGAAGAGAGATACTAGGAAAAGGAGAAAATGTCTTTACCAATCTGATCTTTAAAGAACTTCATTTGTACAGTATTTTAGGAATCTTGGAAAATTCATGAATTTTCGAAATATTTCCCATCTGTGAATAAAGCAAAATGAGCTGCAAAGGAAGTCTCTCAAACTATTCTCTAATGATAGAGCTACCAGGGTGGTGAGCTTATGGTTACATCGCCAACAAAATCTCTATACAGTGACATTTTTGAAATTCCGGTGAATTCACTAAATTTTTCTAAAATCTGAAATTGAAACGAGTTGACTAAAAACAATTTCAATTAAAAAATTTTCTTACACCTCTTTTATAAAACATTTTTCGCCAGGAAATCTTGATGAAAATTCCTGATAGATTTGAAAACCATATTCATCTGATCCGACGATGGTTTCACCTACTCAATTAAAGCGCTTACAGTATCTAGTTATAGGCATTCTTTTTGGGTGTCTAATCATATGTAAATTTTAAGTTATTAATTGTTTCATAGTCTTCGCACAGCTAAAATTCCGGACGTATTACCTAAAAATTTCTGAAATAATTAATAAGTCAAAGTTTAAATATTAATATAACACGTTATTGAGAACTCATTAACAAGTATCTTTAAGTCAAGTGGGTAGCGCTTGCATTATGAGTTAGATATGGTCAGGTTTTTTGAGGAGAAAATCTTATTCAAAACTTTTTAATCAAAATTTCCTACTATTTTCTACTATTTTTTAGCACTTTAAGCTTCTTGGATGGGATATCTTTGTGCTTAATTTGCACTGAATATGAAAACAATGAAGCTGCAAGCCTACAGTTATCAAAAATCTTGATTAATAAACTTAAATCTCAATTCTGGTGTTGGATCTGTTAATGGACTTAAATCGTACGAAAACTTGCTAATAACTCGTACCATTCAAGCAAATCCACCCCTATCCTTCAGAACATATTTATTAATTCTTCTAAGAGATGCCCAATATCCATCACATGCTCAAGGTACTCCTAAAGATGCAGGTGAGGTAGCCTCGTACCTCAAGACCAATCTTGCAGGATGGTAAGCCATAATTCGTAAACGTCGGTTTACTCCAAAAATTGCATATAAAAACTACGAAGTCTCAATTTTGGCTTTCCGTGCGAGCCTGCCATCCCATTCCCAAATTCTGGGTTTTAATAGAACACATTGATCACCCGTATGTGTAAAAATAATGATTTTAACAGAGTAGATGAAGTATATAAACTCTGATAAAAGTCTTAGCTGTTCGGCTACAACTCAGGTGTACAAACTCTTACCATTCCTCTGAACAAATTCACTTACTCTTCTTTGGAGGAGAAGGTTTAGAGCCAGGTCTAATGCACTTAAGCAAAACTGTTGAAAAAGACTACAGAAATTTTAGGAATTCATAACAACGCTTATTTATTATCAGCCTCAAGGTTTAGAGGCTGAGATAATTCGGCTAGATTTTTGGAAAATTTTACTTATTTTCCCTGGAGTCTTCACATTAATAACCAAGTGATGAGAGATATCTTTCTGAGAGCCAACACCTTATTTTGTTCTGAGGTTTTAAGGTATGAATGTTAGGGAAGCATTTTGTTTCAAATGTCTCAAAATGCTATTAAAGTTGAGCACTCTTAAGGGTTTTTCTTTAGAAAAATTAGTAAAGGAAGCTTTTTCAGAGGATTTTATCACTAATAACTCCATCCTTTCACCTATACATTTCTGCTAAGCTAATAAACGCCATATACAGTAAGAAACGGAGAAATAGCTCAAAAACATTTTCAGCAACAAAATTATTATAAGGGGTTTTGGGGTTTTGGGGTTTTGGGGTTTTGGGG